GCAAAGATTAAAGCTTTACAACAACAAAAGAAATTACAGCAATAAATATAACAAAAACAAGAAAGTGGGTGTTTTGTAACACCATTAAAGGACCTAGTTGCCGTCAAATCAAAATTGCAGGGACAAAGAGAGTTTGTAAGAAAGGAAAAAGAAAAAAGAGAGATTTTTTTTTTTTTAATTTATGGCTTTTGTAGTGAAAAGTTGAAAAGAGAGGTTAAGAAAGGTTTTAGCAGAGAAGGAAAAAAAGAGGCTATAAGGTTTTTGGTGTCTTTGTCTAATTCCAGCCCTTATTAATGCTAATTGTTATATTAGCTCGGATAAAAACGACCTACATAACAGAATTAAAAAAAAATCATATCTGTAACATTGCATGTTCAGAATGACCAAAACTTCATTGATTAATCTTAAAAATGCTTCATGCATCAAGAAATGTTGAAAAATTAACATTAGAATCGGTTCAAAACACCTTGATTTGTTGATTTTATTGAACAATAGAGACGAACAAAACAAATAATTTGAAGAAAAAAACATAAATAAAATCATGATCAAAATCATTGCATATAAAATCAGATTATAGAAATTGTAGACACCCAATTGGGTCCAGGGTCCGATCAATTGGGCTTGCCCAGATCAATTGGGCCTGGCCCAGATCAATTGGGCCCAATTCAATCATGTATTTTTTTTTTTTGTATTTTATGTATATTTATATTTATTATTATTATTATGTAGTAATATATGTATATCTGTATTTATTTTTTTTATTTAGAATAGATTTATATATATTATTTATATAGTTATATATTTTATTATTATATTATTATTTTTTTTTATATTTTATTTATTTTTGTATTTTTATTTATCTAATTATATATCTGTTATTTTTTTTTATTTATCCTATAATATATCTATTTTTTTTATTTTATCTGTTCTAATTATCTTTTTTTTTTTATATTTATTTGATTTTTATTTTGAAAGGTTGAGATTGAAGCTGAAGAATCCTACTGAAAATGGGGATTCAATCAGAAGAGTCCAGATTATATTCAAAGATTGAATCTCCGTCCAAAGAGGAATTGGGATTGATCAGAAACTCCTGATCAATCCCTATAAAAGGGACCCCCTCTGGAACAGAATGAAGGACAGAGAAAAAAACAGTGAGCCAGAGCTACTGATTTGAGAGGAAAAGGCGTAAAGAAGAGTATAGAAGGCTAAGAAAAGGTTTAGGAAAGTTCTAGGAATCATCAAAAATTTTTTGGAAATTTTTCAAAAATTTTTTTTCTGAGAATTTCTAAAAAATTCCAGATATCGGTTGCATTTTTCGGCGAAGTTTGAATTTTTTGGCGAAATTCCGGCCAACCTTGAAGTTTCCGACGACCTGCCCAATTTCTGACGAAGAATCCCAGAAACCGGTGATCTTCCGACCAACTTTCGACGAACCTCCGGCGAAATTTCCAGATTCCGATGATATTTTTCAGAATCCGACGAAAATTCCACCAGTATTCTTCAGATTTTAGAGAGAAGAGAGAAAAAAAGAAGAAGAGAGAGAGATGGAAGGAGCGTTTTGTCGAAAAACAAAGGGAACTGTCTTTTATACCCTCCCAAAACGACGTCGTTTTGGCTTTAAGTTAATCAGAGGATCCACGCGTTTTGCCGAAATCCGACTCGACCCGAGCGTCGATCCGCTTCCTGACTCGCGCGTGCCAGCCCCCCTCCGAGCCGAGCCAAGCTGCCAAGCCGCTGCCCCCGAGCCGTTTCCCTGCCTTGAACCGAGTCGATAGCCGAGCCGTTCCAAGTTTTTTTTTTTTAATTAATTAATTAATTTATTTATTAGATTAGGTTTATTTAATATTCTTTTTATCTTTATTTTATTTTTTATTTTTTATTTTTTACTTTTTTTATTTTATTTTTATTTATTTTTTTTATTCTATTTTCTTTAAATAAAAATCAAATTTTCTAAAAAAAATATTTTTAGGGAAAAGTTGAAAGTATCAATTTTCCTTAAAAAATAAATTTCAAAAAGGGTTTTTGAAGAAAAGTTGAAAGTATCAATTTCCCTTAAAAATCAAAATTTTCAAAAAATATTTTTAGGGAAAAGTTGAAAGTATCAATTTTCCTTAAAAGAAAAATAAATTTCCAAAAAATATTTTTGGGGAAAAGTTGAAAATATCAATTTTTTTTAAAAGTAAATTTTCAAAAAAAAAGGATTTTTGAGGAAAAGTTGAAAGTATCAATTTTTCTTAAAAATAAATTTCAAAAAAATGATTTTTGGGGAAAAGTTGAAAGTATCAATTTTTCCTACACAAGAACAATCATCATTTCCTTTCTTTTTATTTTGATTTTGATTTTGATTTTTTCCTTAATTAATCCGACGACGGAGCCTCTGCAAGTAAAACAGTAGTTTTTCTTGCATACTCTTGAGGTGAGGAAATTTTCTCAATTTTCTGCTAAAAGTATTAGAATCAATTGAGAAAAATTTTCGATAATTAATTACTTAGTAAAATTTTAAGGCTTATTGGATAACACAAATTTAAGTTGGTACCATCATTTGATGGGCGTTGTGAGGGTGCTATAACCTTCCTCACACGTAACCGAACTCCCGAACCCTGTTCTGGTTAGTAGACCTGAACCTATTCTTTTAGGGACCCTTAAACTTAAGTGTTCCTTGAAAGGACAGATTCTTTAGGTGGCCAATCGCACCTAGATAAAAAAAGATTGATAGCGACTTCCTAAAGTCAATGTCTAACGATAGATCTCCGGATCTAAACGTTATGACAGAAATGCAAATTAAAGAGATGTACAAGCAAAAATTTTAAGAAAGCCAGTCCAGCCCCTGCTGCAATTGATCTATCTTTTGAAAGCTATTCGTTTTTTCATAAGTGTCAAAACATATAAATTCATAGATCTATTATAAACTTTAAGAGTTATCAATAAAGTTTTTTTGTTTAAGTATAATTATTCACTTAACTGAATTTGTTTTATTTTTAAAAAAAATTTCAAACTTAATTTGGGTATTTTTAGAAAGTAAATTTTAATCTATAAAACCATATTTAGGTTTGGAAGTACGGTATAGCATTTTCACAATGTCCATCCAAATTATGATACCAGTTTGATTTTAAGTTATCCAAATCTTAAAATATTTTTGTAATTTTATCAAATAATTTAATTATTAAAAATTAATCTTAAAATTATTTTAATAGTTTGATAGTAATTTAAAATAATTTTTTTACCTTAAAAGTAGTGTTTTACTATTAAGAGACTTTATCATCAGATTTATTTAATTAAAAAAAATTATATATGATAACAAATGATATTTAGAACTTTGATATGAAAAAATCTTATCTAAATTCTCTAATATATTAATAAATTTTTTTAAAAAACTTTTTACCTAAGAATTTATATAAAAATTACTATGTAACACCCTTAGTAATTTCTTCTTTGGAGATTCATAAACTTATTTTTTGTTAAAATAATTTATTTTCAAAAAGATCTTTTAATATGTGGATAACATTTTTTATAAAAAATTATCTTCTAATATATCATATAATTAATATACAATAAAAATATGCAAATCAAATATTAGATAATAAATCATTCAAGAATTCTTTTCTTTTTGCAAATTAATATATACAAAAAGAAACCAGGATTAAAAGGACAAATAAAAATAATAAAACACATAATGAATAAATAAATAAGTAAATTAAAAACTAGGCAAAGCGGGTCAGGTCACCTGTGGGTTTTACACGGGTAAGCTTTTCTCCTGAACGTGGAACACAGTCGTTTCAACACCTCCTCTTTATTTTTCGTGCCTCTGTCAAGTCCCTCTTCTTTCAGATTTGCAGCTCTTCAAGAGTTCAAGAACACCAAAACCCAGTTGCAAAAAATGAAAAAACTCAAGTATCATTGCCTGTCACCGCCGACGAAATGACCAGGAATCTTCCCTTTCCTCTGTGTTCCGCCTCTGTTTATGCTGAGCTTCTTTTGTATTGGGTATTGTTTCTAGATACTTTGTTTGCATTGATTGTGGGCTGGTTCAAGTTTTCTGTTTCAGCTTGGTTTTTTTTTCTATATTGTGTTTTTGGGTACTCTATTTGTGTTTGGGTTCGGTTCTGAGTTTGAACACTGGATTCCTACTTGCTCTGATTGTCGGGTTTGGGTCTATTTCTGAGTTGCTTGGGGCTTTTCTAGTGGCCGCTGCCTCTGAGAATTGAATCCTTGTTGACTTGGTTTGGTTCTGGGGTGAATGCCCACTGCCTCTGTTTTGTTTTTTATGCGATTCCTTGGTCTTGATTGCAGGCTGCGCAGGCTTGTTCTCTGGAAATTGGTTGCTGTGTGTCTGATATTAGAGCTAAATTAGTGGAATTTGAAGCTAGTGATGGGCTCTGATGTGGGAAATTTTCAGTTTGGTTGATGGGAGTTTGTAATGGTGTTACTTGTGAATAATTTTCCCTCTTCCCTTCATGATCACATATATTTTTTTTTGTCGTTTATAAAGAAATTCATGCAAAATCAATTTTTTTTAATTATATAATTTGATTTGATTTGATTATGAATTAATTTTTTTGTGATTACATGAATTAAGCACCAAAATTTCCAAAGATTGAATGCAAAATCTCCACACATTTTTCTTTTTCAAGCTTTTCATTTTTTCCTAATTTTTTTTTTACTTTTGATTTTTTTTAATCAAAATAAATCACAAAATTAAAATGCAAACTAAATCTAAAAATTAAAATTAAAATTAAAATCAATTTACAATTAAAAATTTTAGACTTTTATCTTATTGGGCTCAAAGCTTCTTAATTGGGTTCAATTTATGATTAAAAGCTCGTTTCTGATAAAAAAAATCTTTAATAAAATAGGGTATTTATAAGAAGTGTTGACAAAGGTGCAGGTAAAAGAGGAGCTTCAATCGAGTATCATGTTCAAAATATAGTAGAAAGAAGTGAACAGAGATCAGCTTCCACAGGCTCGGGTTCTTTTGCTTTGCCTGCCTTTTTTTTTTTTTTTATCATCTTGAAAAGCCTTTGGTCTTGTTGCCTTTTTTCAACAGATCAAGAAGCTTCTGAAATGATTTTATTTCAAAATTAACCCTCCAATTGTTTTTAAGTACATCAACAGATATGGACAATCAAACCGACCAGGGAACTACTTTTATTACAAGTATGGATCATCTATACTTTATACAGAACTTGGAATTTAAGGAACAAAAAAGTGATGAAACAAAAAGAAAAGCCCTTTGTAAACCGACCTATAAACACAGTCCTTTAGGAATTGGATTTTCTAGTCCTTGTTATGTTTGAAGTTTTGATGTATATAGAGAGATAGAGAGAGCGTTGGGTCTTTCTCCAATGAGCCAAGAAAACAAAGAAAAGTTTAAAAAGGTAGGCGTTTTCATTCTGTTAATGACCCATGGATTCTGATATAAGTTACTTTTTCCAACTATGGGAAGGTGAACTTAAGAGTGATCAAATTCCAGATGACAAGGAAGATGAAATTGATGACCCTTGTGTGCAGGGTCGGTTTCGTTGTTGCCATGGTTTGGTCGATATCCAGCAACCTGATTCCATCAAGCTGGCTGCTGTACTATTGGAGCAACAACTGTTCCTGCAACAATCCTCCTCTTACACCCCGTCTGGGCAGGAAATCCCCGAATGGGTCAGGGACGAATGTAGGTGTGAAATCGTCAAGTTTACCGAGGCTTTGCTGAGAGATGAACTCAACATGAACCGAACCAAGTTCCTGATTGTTGTCAAGTTTGGAGCATTTATGAGAAATAACGATGATGATAGTGAGATGGAGGAGGAGAAGGAGGATAAAGACGAAGCGATTTGGACAACGACATATAATGATGATTATAGTGAGATCGAGGAGGAGGATATGGATGGTGAGACATTAATGGAAGCTGGCGATCAAATTGGGTTTGTCCCAGCGAGTAAGTCAAGCATTGAAGCCTTGCAGAAGGTTTCTGGTTTGGGCAACAACAGTGAATGTATGATTTGCCTTGGAAAGATAAAGGGTGAGGAATCAGCTAATCGCATGCCGTGCGGTCATGTGTATCATGGAGACTGCATTGTAGAATGGCTGGAGAAGAGTCATTTGTGTCCATTGTGTCGCTATGCCATGCCAATTGATGAATGTATTAATTTTCATATTGTTTTGAATTACTTATGAAGCCAAACAACACTTTGAGATGTACTTATCTTTTAATTATACTATGTACTGCAAAAGTTCAATATTTTTGGGAAGATTGATAACAATTCGGGTCAGAATAAATTTAATTATATATTTTTTGTTAATATATAATATTATAAATTTTTAAAATTTGATTAAAATTTAAATTTATTTTTTAAAATAAATTAGATCTGAATCGAATTTTATTGGTTCAATATATCATTTTTTTTTAAAATATATTATTTAAATATAAATTTTATTATATTTATATATAAAATAATTATTTTTATTTTATAAAAATTTTAAATATATATAAATTAATAAAAATATATAATTCAATTCGATTTTTATTTTATTTTTCACCTTCCTCTTTCAAAATTGATCTAAACTTAACATATATATGTAATATCTAAATTTGATACAAATTGAATAAAAAAATTAATCTAATCTAAATTAAACTATACAATTTTCAAATCAATTTTTGAGACCATATGTAACATTGTGTCCTATGCCAATCACATATTATAATATATTAATTTTGATATTTTATATTAACTTTCTTTATTGCACGTAAAACTAAGAAAAAAAAAAGAAAATAAGCTGCAGGCTCTGGCCATTAAATTAAATAATTAAATAAGATATCAAAATTAGAAATATAATCCATAGTTGAAGTTTTTTTTATTATTATTATATTATGAAAGTAAAATCTTAATATAAATAAAAAATATTAATTCAAAATTAAATCTTTAATATATTTTAAATATTTTTAATCACTAAATTAAAGGTTTGGGATCATAATTAAAATTACAGACTTAAAATTACGTTTTACATAAATATAAATGTGGCCTTTAAGCTCTATTGAAAGGAGAGGGTACTCTCTTGTGTATGGTGGGCTCGGGCAGTCATGAGAGAATCACGTCTCTCGAGGAAGAGTAAGAAGAAATCCACAAAGATTAAAGACTACGTTTTTAAACTTATAAACTTAATCTTTAAATTTTGCATGATCATGTATTTATAGAAGCTGATAATAGATTTATTTGTATATATAAAAAAATCAATGAAGAAAAGATGGGTGTGTTAGAATTGGTGGAAAGTTGAAAAAAGTTGGTGAACAAAATGTAAAGAAATCTGACAAAATAATGTATGAGCGAGAATGACGAGAAGTGTTGGGGTAACCATGCGGGACACATATACTCCTTTTTTTTTTTTTGTTGGTCTTTAAAAGTTTGTTATTTTCTTTTATTTTATTAGATATTTTTACTTTATTTTTAAGTATTTGATTCATAAAAATAAAACATCTTATTTTTTATTTTTTTTATAAAAAATTGGATACCTATCAAACATAAAATCAATACTAAATAAAATTTTTTTATTTTCTTTACACGCCACCTTTCATTCTTATCTCATCTTTTTGCCTTTTTTATTTTTAAAAATTATTATTTGCTTTTTATTATACTTTTTATATTTAATATTTTAAAAATCATATGTATACGTAAGGAATGAAAAAATAGGGAAAGTGAAAAATTTTCGTTCAACTTCGTTCACCCTTTTTTATTCAATACAATCATTTCTCTCTTCCACCTCTTCAACTCTGTTCGACCTTTTTTTTGTGTCATTATATTTCTCAATTTTTAATGACTTTTCTTTTCCATATGAATCTTTTTACTTTTATACAACAAATCTTTTGGGTTGAAGAAAGAAAAATCGTAGACCAAAGGATTAGATATGAGAGAATTTTGATTTTTTTTTTTCATTTTTCATATTCTTTTCTTTCCTTTTTTTGCTCCGCCTTGGCTCGCAACGTTCCTCTTCTCTCTCCCTTTCTTCACTCTTCATGTTTTCATTTTATTTTTTGTTGGTTTGAATTAATTTTGAGGGAATTTGATTTGGTTTTTTAGGCGTTGAGTAAGATAGCGTGTAATCGGCGCAGAAAGAGCTGGTGGAGTGGTAGGTCAACCCTCATTCCAGTTTTAAACACAAAGTCATCGATAATCTTCAAGAGTTGTTCATTGATTCGTAAAATTTTCTCTTTTTTTTATATCTTCGCCTTTCCGTTATTGATTTCTTTTAAATGGTACCTTTTTTTATTGTATTGAAAAAAATCAGGTAGATAATCGAAGAAAATGGAGTTCCGGGAACTTTATACGCCAATGAAACCTATCAGCATCAAGAGGATTTCCCTGAATATTACCCTATGGAAGCCCCTGGTTTAGTTTTTATTCAAAAACGTATTTTTACAAGTTTTTCTTTATTTTCTTTTTATGATATTGCTTCCTTTTTTGTTTCTTTATTGGGTTATTGGTGGCGGGTAATATTTCTTCATCTGGCACCTCTGTATACATATATTTATAGCAATGGCCATATTTGTTTAGGTAATTGTCGATATTAATTTTTCATAAATGCTGTTTTTAAGTGATTTACGATTTCTCTAAGGTTTTTCAAGGATTTTTATTTTTTTTTAATCTTTTTGCAATTGATATAAGTGGATATTCGTATCTAATTTGTGAGATATTATCCATTTTAATTTGAAGATTTTATGATTTTATTTTACAAAAATTACATTATAAATTTGAATTTAAATCTTTACATCTTCCTATCATGTAGCAATTACTGAGTCCTATAGTCTTATCATGTAACACTTAGTAACTCTCACGATATAACATTTAATTCTTATCGATTAGTGATTATTCTGATATTATTTGTGAAGATTTACATTCAACTTAACTTTCGAGATATTATTTATTTTGATCCGAAAATTTCACAATCTTATTTCACAAAAAACGTATTATAAATTTAAATTTAAATATTTACATATATATAATATCATATTATTTTCATACATTATTTTAATATGAGATTAAAAACGTTTACAACATGTCATGACATGATTTGTCTTTTTGCTTTCACCTTAATTTTATCTATTTATCATTTGAAAATGATGGTTTTCTTCGATAATATTGTCTTCGTACTATTTGTTGTACGGTAAGCTAAATGTTTCTCTAGGTGTAGAAGGGCTTAAGGTAAATAAAATGGTTTTAGGGTTTTACCCTTCTATTTTTTAGTTGTTTCAGAGTACATAGCATTTTAAGGTATTTTAAGCATTTTTTGTCATTTTTCTTTGATTATCTTAATTGTTAGATTCAAAGATCTATTTAAATTTAAAATTTTCTTTGTTAGTCACAATGACGTCACCCCGTGATTAATTGTAGGACAAACTCAAGAGTATAAGAAAAATGGATCATTATGTTTTTCTTCCTTATTTCTAGTAATGTTTTGAAGGTAACATTTCTACTTTAAACTTCACTTCTGCTTGGTTCCCAAGGAAGATCCACTTCCTTTTTGCTTTTTTTTTTTTTTCCTTAAATTTTCTTTTCATCATTTTTGTTATTTTCCAATTACACTATAGAAAATTTATTTGATTTCTTATGGACTTTGCTGATGGTCTTTTACTGCTGTGATTTGTAAATATTTAAATGCAATTCTTTTTGTCACATAATTAAATATACTTCGATATTGGATGCCGCTGAAATTTTTTTTTTTTGCTTTTATGGTTGTTCGTAATCCTGATGAATCTTGCAAAGCTAAATGGATAAATGGTTTGTTCTATATCTTCAGTGGTCAAATAAACTTCAAAAGCTTGATTTCCAAGAGTTGGTGATTGTCCTACAACACCTTCAAACTCATAATTGGACGTATCAAGAGCTTGAAATGGTACTTTATAGGGCATGCATGTGGCACAGTATGTTTAGCAGCTTTCTCAACCACTTGGCTAGCTGAACACAAATTTATGTTTACTATTTATTGACCAATTAATTCTTTGTCTCCCTTTGAATTCTATTTGTTTGTTGATCAAAATGGTTAGGGGGCCCATTCTATTTATCATGCTTGCAAAATTGGGTCGATGTTGTCGAACCATTTTTCAAGTAACAGGCCAAACCAAACTAGATGGGCCCAATTACAACCATTTGTTTTCAAGCAACCTTTTACTGAAATTGAAATGTTATGTGGTTGGCAAAAAAAAAAAGTGTTATTCAGCTCCAAAACTAACTGTCATTACATCTCTGAAATTGTTTGTATTAATTTGTTTTTATATAGTTGTCATTACATCTCTGAAAACTACGTAGCATTTACTTAGTTGATTGCTAACCTTTGCGATTTTAAATCACCTTCATTAATGTTCATTGCTTACTACTATTACAAAAATTAGGAATGACTTACTCGTCACTATAACATAGATCTCAGAAAGAAGAATCATTATTTTAGTAAATTACATCTGAATAATTAATGTTTAAAATGGTAGACTTAATGCCTCTTGGGACCAGTGTTATGTATCCTTTAAATATGGAATCACTAATTAGTTGTTATATTATACATTGAGGAAATGGGAAAATTTGTTGGAAGCATGAAGTACCACAAAAAAACAAATGAAAACAAGAATAAGAAAGGTAAATTGATCACAGTGGCTAATTAGTGATCTTTTTAAAGTTAATAATAGTTCAGATTACTTTTAAGATGTTGCATCTTATTGGTTAATTGGTAAATTGAGATGGAAAATATTAATTTTGCAATGATAATTGAGATTATGGTTTTTTATATTGTATAGATATGGAGAAGAATTTGAAAAGTTTGTTTCATTAGCTGGAAATTTTAATAAATAAGCTATATGCCCCACTAGAGAAAGTGCAAATCAACTCATGTTTTGTTATGAAGTCTATGTTACAATTAGGTATTTGATGTAGATTGGTTATTTTCATTACTTGGTTGATGTGATTTGGTTAAGTTGTAAAATGTATCATTTACATTAAAGTTGTAATGAGTTATAAAAATTAGCCCTATGTGTTCAACATTAGTTGATTAAGTGTTAGAGAATTTTATTATAATCTTTGGCATTTATGTATGTTTTATGGTATATCTTAGATATATTTAATCTCGCCTATTATAGCTTAAATTGTATATGATATTGTAGACTATCATTTAGTGGTTAATCATTTGAAATTGATGTTTCCGGTAGTGTTACAAATCATCTGGAATTTGCAAATACGATATTTTTATTCATATGGTGGATCAATGGATTCTAATGGCTATAGGTGTGACCAAGCAATGGCACACACCTTCCTTTAGCTTTATTGGTTACTTCTTATGTTGTTTTTCCTACCTTTTTTTTGTGTGTGTGTTGAAGGTGTTTCGATATAATAGGATCCTAACTCTTTAAATGCAATTTTCTCTACAAGCTTCGTATAATTTTTCTCAATTTTATGTCTTTTTAGTGGTTTTTTGCGTTGCATTGGAATGTCTCATTAACATTGCTGTTTGCTACTGTCTTTCATGCATTGTTGCTATCTTTTATGTTGTGGCAGACAACATGAACATTGGCGAAGAGTATGGCATTCTTGGTGATAAGAGAAAATGGATTCACTGTCCAATGCTTGGCTACCAGGCAAATAATAGGAGTGAGTTGTAAGATGGTGATCAAGTTTCCTATGTAAGTTAAAATTTGTGAGTAAAGGAATTTGATTTAAAATTATATGAATTTTATAAATTTTCCATTGATGATTCCAAAAGTATAAAATCTAAATTTTTAGATTAGTAATATTTAGTTAAAGAAATGATCTGAAATTCTTACTATAATTGATGTAGATAAGCAACTACTCTTCATATTGAATATATCTATTAATATTGCTTTACTTAGAAATGAATCAAGATATAATTGCTTACTCGTAACTCTTAATTTTTTTAATTGGTGTTTCATTTACTCGTTGTATTAAACAAATTCAGTACTGTAGCCTATTGTGTAGTTGCAGTTGAATCTATTTGCAAGTAAGTGTCAATTTGTAATTTTGAAAGAGTTAAGGAATACTTTAACAAGATATGATAGATGGAAGACTGCAACTGCCATCGACAACAGCTTGAATAGAAAATTTGGGTATTTATCACTCCATTTTTCTTTTCATAAATTTATTCTTTTACTTGCAACATTCTTAGCTCCTTCTTGATTATTATTGGGATTGAGTTTGGTTTATGTTTATTATTTTTGAATATGTTAATATTGTTGTTGTGTTGGATTCAATGTTGACCAATCTTAAAATCTATTGATTATTTTAATTCTTGATATTATGATTGTTACGTTATTATTTTTAGCATGCTTGATTGTTGATATAATTTTTTTTTTTTTTTTGCTCTTACCTCTTAATTTTTGCCTTCTTGCTATTAATAAAGAAGTTTCACTTTGATTCACCTATAATTTGCATTGAAGTAGGTTTAATAGATGAATAATTAAATAGACTGTCTTTATATGATGTTTGTGGTCAAATTTTTTTAGATGTTCTAGGTGAAGGTGAATGAAAAAGAGATACAAAGCTGTTTTGATTTTGTGTTGAAATATTTGAGATAGAATCCTTCGAGGAATCCACGAGCTTCTATAGTTGTTAAGTAGAGAGTTATAAGAGGTGGAGGAAGATGTATAACTAATGTCCCTATTTGTTCAATATACATTTATGATACTGAAAATTAGTGCTCAAATAGGATAGTTATTTTCAATGGCAACAATATTCAGACTAGGATTGGTAGGATAATTGTTGATGGATAAACCAAAATGCTTGATCAGAGTCATTAGATTGTTAAAGTGTTTAGAGTAGCTAGAGAGAGAATAATTCAAAGAAATAGATTATGCTCCAATGAGACTTAGATTGGTTGGAACAAAGTATTGGATATTGTCAACTTGTCTTCCATTCAAAAAAAAAAAAAAAAACATTGCATAGAAGGCATTCATGGTAATCCATGGTCCAATCCAACAACCCTACAAAAACAATGCGCATATCTCAATACTTATAAATTGACTTCAAAGTTATATCATTTTGATTATTTGTAGTAAAATAATGGGACATCATTATGCTTAGTGTTTATTCCATTCCTTTATTATATTTCATTATCTTAATTATGTAGCCATTCATAATCATTGAGCTGCAAAGAACCGTGGATACAGATAGGGTATAAAAAGTAGACAATACCCCAGTTGCATGAGTATAAAAACAAGACAATTGCATCATTTGCACACGTTTATGGACCATCCTTATCTAATTCCATTCTTAAAAAAATGTAAAAACGGATTTATCTTTTGCTGCTTCTACTTTTCAACCTGTTATAAATATGTATGCTCATAGTTTCTGCATCTAATGTGAGTGATAGGAGTGAGCTAGCATTAGATAGATTAGATTGCAACAGCCGATAGGTTATTCTATTTTAGGTGATGATTTTGAGCAACTCAAGGGCAAAAGATTTAAAAAAAATTTAACTACTTATATTGCATATCACTTCACTTTTACTCCGCAGGAAAGTGTTGATGTGTGTAAATTTTAATGCACTCATTTTGAACCCTATTAAGACAGAACTGAATTTTCATTTATGAACTTAATGAGCCTGATTGAACTTATTGAGTTGTTGCATAAAGATCTTAATGCTATCTATGTATATTCAATTCTGTCTAGATAAAGTTCAAACTTTATATTTATGCCAAAAGATCTTAATGCTATTGAGGTTTGAGATATCTCAAACCAGGGTTTTTTTTTTTTTTTTGGCTTTTATATTATTTTTATTTGTTTATTGAAAAATTCCTACTTGCTAAGACAAGACCAATTCAATTTTTGATACCAAAATTGCTCTATTATCATTTATTGCATGTGCTCTTGATTCAGCACCTTCAGCATACCCAAAAAGCTTCCATAGTCACACTTCTCCACTACTAAAGCCTCTCATCTTGAAATGCAACAGTACCTCAGCAGAGTAAGAATCAAGGCTTGAACAATGCCTTTTTATGGTATTGATAGCTAATGCTTTGTTTTATCAGTTAAATTCATTGCATAGAATGCTTACTGGTTAAAGTTTGGTTGTCTTATATTAGTTCATTTTAGTTGATTTATAAAGTTTAGTTTTGTATATTGCGGATTATTCTAATAAAGTTCATAAAATAAAATAACGTCAGTTTAAATATTGAGATAAAATAGATCAAGGTTATTAGAATCTTATTTGCAATGTAATTTCTTAATCTTGCTATCTATGGCAACTTAATGTTTGCACAAAATAATTTGTAAAATGTATAATTTATCAACTTTTTTGAATGTTCAAGGTCGATATGAGAATTTATATATATCAAACCTTAGATATTCTTATATATTTTATAAAGACGGCTTATTTTGTGCCTTCAAATTTATAATTAATTAAATCTATAAAATTAATGCTAAAACTGAACTTTTGTTGTCAAGAAGATTAATAATCTTATTACATATTAATTCGTTCAACTTTTTAGATTTTATTGTATTGTTTATATATATATATATATATATATATATATATAGTCATTATCGTCATCAACATGATTTTGCTAATCTCATGCATGGCTAAAGATTAAATCTTGAGTTTACTGTTTAAACAAGAAAAATGTACCTGCAGTGGCACAATGCTAGTCTATAATTAAAAAGACAGGCCTTATTTTTTTGAAATCTATAATTAAACCGACCTATAAGCACAATCCTAGTCCTAGTATTGTTTGGAGTTTTAATGTATATAAAGATATAGAAAGAGAGCTAAAGGTTTTGCTCCAGAGAATATTTGAGAAAACAAGAAATAGAAAAAAGTTAGGCGTTCTGATTCTGTTAATGATCCATGGATTCTCGTGTATGGTACTGTTTCGAAACATGGGAAGGTGGTGGAAAGTACTTTTTGGAAATATGGGAAGGTGAACTTGTGGATGATCAAATCCCAGATGACTACGAAGGTGAATTTATTGATGACAATTGTTATAAGGGTCAATTTCGTTGTTGCCGTGGTTTGATCGATCGCCAGGAACCTGATTCCATCAAGTTGGCTGCACTATTCGAGCAAAAACTGCTCCACCAGTCCTCCTCTTACACACCGTGTGGGCAGGAAGTCCCCGAATTGGTCATGGTCGAGATTAAGTGTAACATCGTCAACTTTACCGAGGCTTTGCTGAGAGATGAACGCAACATGAATCGAAGAAAGTTCCTGATTGTTGCGAAGTTTGGAGCATTTATGACAACGAGATATAACGATGATGATGGTGAGCTAGAGGAGGAGAAGGAGGAGGAGAATATAGTCGGAACATTAGTTATAACAAGATATAATGATTCTGTTGATGATGATGATGATGATGATGATATTGAGTTCGAGGAGGAGGATGAGGATATGGATGGAGACATATCAACGGAAGTTAACGATCAAATCGGGTTTGTTCCAGCTAGTGAGGCAAGCATTGAAGCGTTGCAGAATGTTTCTGGTTTGGACAACAACAGTGAATGTGTTATTTGCCTTGGAAGGATAAAGGGGGAGGAATTAGCTAAAAGCGTGCCATGCGGTCATGTATACCATGGAGACTGCATTGTTCAATGGCTGGAGACGAGTCAATTGTGTCCATTATGTCGCTATGCCATGCCAATTGATGAATCCCATTAATTCCCATATTGTTTTTTATTTTTGCCATGTATGCTCTTATATTTCATTAGTACAATTATTATATCATGTTCTATATATTCATGGTTAGATATCTGAACTTCATGAATATTATAATCACTAGTTGTAGTTGTGACTCGATCTGCAGTCTCTGCATGCGGTAACTGTATAAAGCTGTTAATTCATTCAACTTAGCCTCCTGAACAGAACAACTGTTAATGCTTCGATACCCTTGTCCTATTGTTTATATTTCATTAACAATACTGCGCAAGCAAACATAATAATGAAAAATCTTTATTACATAGTACGGGTGCTATCTCCCATCCGAAGTAACAATTTTGCAGCCAGTATTTGTTAAAGCAAAACTGATGTTTAGGGACAAGTTTGAAACCTCTAGATGCCAATAAAATTCACAAATGGTGATGCCAGATATAGTTCACCACAGAACTCCTGCACTTCACTGATTAATTTATTGCCATACCAGGGTTTGAAATTTACTGTTCGAGAAACCATGCCAAATCTGTCGATTCTTTGCCCTATAGGTACCAATGATTGCGTTGGTTGTTTAACCATTGCTGCTGCCTCCCAAAATCTCCTACTAGGGTTCTCTTGATGTTATTTGGCCTTGCCTAAAAGTTTATGATGTCATACGTGTTGGCTCAAGGGCATTGGAGCCAATACTTTGAAGTATTATTAGAAATGAAGTTAGAGACCAGGACATAGGTTCCATCTTGGCTAACTGCTGCCCCTGCTGGCCCTGGAAGGTTCTTTGGCAACACTGTCACTCGCTTAGTATCGGGTTCATACATTAACAACCTCCCTGTCGAATCATTAGCATTCAATGATTTGGTGGCATTTCTGCAACACGTAATTAAGCAATGTGTAAATGAAGCAAATTACAAAAAAAGGAATATTTTAGTGAAATAAATAGTATGGGAACAAGAATGAACCTTAGATCATAGACAGTGCTGGAATCTGTGAAAAAAGCATTTCCAGATTGTTGGAGGACATCTAAACCATTGCAAAAGCGGTAAGGTTCTCCATCTGCACCGGTGGAAAAGTGGGGTTGCTAGTCTTCCTGCAGAACCTGACACCATGAGGCCAAGATAAGCATAACAAACATACAGCCGATTCGAGGAGTAATGAAACCCCAAACCCAATGGCCTTCCACAGACGGGCCCCAAATCTGGATTAGTAGTGCCATAAAACACTCTCTTAGACCTGTATTAGAGTTCAAAGGGAGAAAATTCAAGTACTACAAAGATAAGATAGCCAGGGGACCTAGGTAGATATGAAAATTTCCTGGCAGGAGCAGATAAGACCCATTTTTTAACTTATTTGCATGCATAGTTTGCCTGATGAAGAGGTTTTTTTAGACAGAAGTAATTCATGTAAAAGAATCGCCTAGTTGGACTGGTGAATCCAAAGTCCAAGAAGCCACCAGCTGGTCCATTGTATTGCATAATTCCACCATCAGCCATAGTTGTATAGAATCGTCCGGTTCCCAACTTGGGACCTGTGGCTGTTTTTGGCAACCGAATCGAGCTGAATGATTCAGAACGAACCATTGAAGGAATACACAAAGATGAAAATGGAGAACATGGTTATTACTTTCTGAGGCTAATAATGTAAGCCATCTTCAGTTTTTATAAGCGCCAGAACACGTACTAATTAAAGGCAATCCAATTGACATATAACCGATGATCTTGAGCACCTGATGGAAGAGAAAATTCTGAAACCAAGCAAGGATCATCAATGATTGGTATGGCGTTGATTATGAATTTTGGGCGGTTAAAGGCAGTGGTTTTCGATGCAGTTCCAAAATTTCCAAGAAGGTAACCCCATGAAATATGAAAAAGTTTAATGCAGCAATTGGAAAGTGAGTGAAAATTTGCTTTTTGCATTCTTTTGCCATAACAGAAAGCATTTGTTTCATTGTCTTATTTCTATTTTTGAACGAAATTGGATGTTACATTTGTATATTATTCCTTCTGCTAACAACTACTACTTTGTTATTACATGGTTGAGAGCAGTCTGGGCAGCCATCCTTTATTTAAAACTTGCTTTATCAAATTTTTTCAGCCACTTTATTTTTTTATTAATTCAGGAGGCCTTTAAACTACAAAGCTTGGAATCACCAACACAAAGTCCACTAGCCGTGATACGACATATAGATGGCCACCATACTCCTGAACTTCACTGACTGATTTATTTCCATACCATCGCTCAAGGTTAACTGTTTGTAAAACAGTACCATTGCCAAATGCATTGATCCTTTGTCCTATAGGCACAATCGCTTGTGTGCGTTGTTTCACCATTGCTGCTGCTAGCCAAAAATTGTACCTTAATGTAGTCCTTTTGATGTTGTCCGGCATCGGCTGAGAGTTTATGATATCAGATTTGTTGGCTTTTGGACCCTGGAGCCAAATCTTTCTAGTCCTGTTCATAAAGAACTCAGAAACCAGGGCGAACTCTTCTTCCTCATCGACTGCAACCCCTGCTGCACCAGAAAGATTCCTAAACAACACTGTCACTTTCTTAGTCTTCGGGTCATACTTCAACAGCCTCCCTGTCGAATCTTTGACCCTTGCTGCTTCAGCGATTTGTCTGTAAGATATTGGAGAAACTACTATTTTTAGTTTGTTCCATAATTCTATAAAAAGATATAGGACAGCTGAGAAACCTTATGCCGTAGACAGCACTGGCATCTGTGAAATAGACATTTCCAGTTAGTTGATGGACATCAACAGCATTGCAGAAACGGTAAGGTTCTCCATCTGCACTGGTGGAGAGTTGGGTTGCCAGCCCTCCCTGAGGGCCCAACACTCCGAACCCAAAAAATGCATCGCAAACATACAGCTTTTGTGTTGCGTGGTGCAACGCCATACCAAGTGGCCTTCCACAGGCAGGATTGGGATTGGCAGTGTCCGTGCCATCGCACTCTAACTTTGACCTACAATTAGAGTTAGAACAGATAACCAACATGCAAAAACAAGATCTTTGTCCCATAAAGAAAAACAAAATAAGAATGGTTTTGCTTGATATGCAAAAGATTAATAACCTCTTAGGTGCGGTAAATCCAAAGTCAACAAAACCAGTGCTTCGACCCTGATATTTCAGAATTCTACCGTCAGCTATACCTGTATAGAACACTCCGTTTCCCAACTCAAAGGCAAGTGCCTCAGGGCCTGTGGCATTTGGTGGCAATTGAATTTTGCCTAAGGAAATTTCAGAAAGAACTGTTGAAGGAAAACAAAGGAGGCAGATAAAAGTCGAGAAAATGGTTGCTGCTATAGTTTTGATTCTCATAATGCTGCTAGCCATTTTCAAATAAAAGAATCTGCTATACATCCAACGGAAGCAAATACGCAGAGCCATTTATAAGGAATTTGCTACATAGTTTTGGCAATGCTATTTGCTATGAATATCACCTAGTATTTTGATGGAATGACCTTCCAATTTAATTACCTAATTAAGTAGTATTAATTTAAACAAAAGTTGCGCCGGTTTTCATTTTTAAATCGTGCCAACTTCCAATGAATGAAAACGGTTGCTACTATACGAAGCTATAATCTATCAAA